ATCACTGTGGTTTTGATTTGCATTTCTTTAATGATTAATGATGTTGAACATCTTTTTCACGTGTCATTTGTATAACCCCTTTGGAGAAATGTTTGGTCAAATCCTTTGGCACTTTTTAATTGGGTTGCCTTTTTATCGTTGAGTTGTAAGAATTCTTTACATATTCTGGATACAAGATCCTTATCAGATATGTGATTTGCAAATATTTTCTCTGTGGATTATCTTTCCATTTTCTTGATCGTGTTTTCTAAAGAAGAAAAGTTTTTTATTTTAATGAAATCCAATTACCTACTTTTTCCTTAGTTGTTTGTACATTGTTATATCTATGAAACCACTGCCAACTTCAAGGTCATGATTTACCTCTACATTTTATTCTAAGAGTTTTATGATTCACGATCCTTCATTTTTTGATATGATTCCCTCTCTATGCTCTGTTTGGTATAAAGTCCTCAGGGCTATCCTCCAACATTAATTGTCTTTTCCACTGTGTTCTACCTTGAATTTATGCTACCACTGAGAACTTTTTCTTTTTAAAAATTGCAATGACTATATGTTTGTTTCCTTTTTTAAGTTTCAGATTTTGAATCACTTCTTTTGCATATCTGTGCTCTTCTTGGTTTCTGTACAATTTTACTTTATTGTTTTTAGGATTATTTTTCTTTCATTTGGCTCTTTGAGTATCCTAATTACATTTTAAAGTGTTTGACAGCCTACACCAAAAATTAACTGCTTCCAGAAGAAATTTATGTTCCAATTGCCGATTTCTGTGATACACTCTGCTATCTGTTACTGGCACCAATTCTTCCTCCTGTACCTGTGTCCCTTGCTTTCTAACCTGTATTGCTCCTGCCCATGGCAAGCCACACCTTCCTGCTTCTTGACTTTGCCTTTGGCCAGATCGTTTTTCACAGCAGCTGTGTCATTTTATGTTCCTAGAATGAATACACCAGCATTCCAATTTCTCCACACCCTCACCAATATTTGCCGTTTTCTGTTTGTGTTTTGTAGTAGCCATCCTAATGGGTGTGAAGTGGTATCTCATTGTGGCTTTGATCTGCGTTTCCTTAATAACTAGCATCCTTCCATATGCTTATTGGCCATTTGTAGATCTTCTTTGGAGAAATGTCTATTCCAGACCTCTGGCTATTTTTGAATTGGGTTTTGTTGCTGTTGTTTTGCTGCTGTTGAGCTGCCAGAGTTCTTTATATCTTTTATATATCTGGATATTAACCTCTTATCAAATATATAATTTGAAAATGTTTTCTTCTATTCTGTGGGTTGCCTTTTCACTGTATTAATGTGTCTTTTGATCAATGAAAACTTTTAATTTTAATAAAATCCCATTTATTTATTGCTTTTTTTGTTGCCTGTGACATTTTGGCTAATTTCAAGTAGAAGATAGATTGTTGAAAGATAGATTGTAGAAAGATTGTTGTTCTTTCTCTCTCTCTTGCCTGTCTGGAGTTTTGTAATTACTTCCACCTCCTCCCTTAAACTTCCACCTCAGAGCCTTATAATGGCACTTTAGGACTAATGCTCTATAATCATATTGGGATATTGCAGATCCAATTCCAAAGCTAGCTTGGTCTGGCAGAAAAGGTGTCCCAATGTCCTTTCATCTCTCTAGGCCAACAGCTTCCTAATATTATTAAGCTGTAGCTTGGAGGAAACAGGCAGCCAGCAGTTGTTTTGGGCTCTCTATCTCTGCCCTGTATTCAGGTTATAGCCCTAGCTCTGATTCCCAGTGTCCCCTCGAGTACTTTTAGTCCCTTTTGTTCCACAGGATTCAAGCTCCTTCCTGCCACTTCTTACTCAGGATGTGGATCACGGCACAGGGTTTCTGTAATTCTCTTTTGTTTTTGGTTCCCAGAGTTGTCTGTCTCTGGCACTAGCTTTTTTATAAATATATATTTTATTATAATTTTACCTACCTTTGCATGTGTTTGAGCAGAGCATTTGTCAAAAACTGAACTTACTAGACCATCTTGACCGGAATTCACATCAAATGTTTTCACCTCCTAATGACTGAATTGGATCAGCCTGCAGCAGAGTGATTTGACTGCATCGGATCTAGTCATGTAAATGGTGTTGAAGAAATATAAAACCCTAAAATTTCAACTAAGTCCATTCACTGGCTGTAAAATCAAAGGTTTTTAAAACCTTCTATTTGTTGGTGGTTGTTCAGAAGAGTCATCTATTCTACGGCTGTGAGATGGTGAGGTGGAGCTGTGAGCAGAAGCCAGCATGCATGGGGAGGGAGGGGGCACATGAGCCAGAGGGAGGCATCTGTGTTGCTCCTGAGGCAGGAAGGGAATTAGAGAGCTGGGCATTGCAATGAGGTGGTGAGCACATCTGCTAGTGAAAGTATGATTCCAGATCCTTCCCTACACCCCTCAGGATGCGGAGCACAGCTGACCTGCAGCTTCTGTCCTGCAGTGTCAGTCTGTACACTGTGTAGTAGCAATTACACAGATTAATTATGTCTGTTTTTTGAGAACTACCTACTTCCACCTTTGACCATTTCCCAAGTCCTGTAGGCAGAGGAGTGTGTTTTACAGCCCTGCAAGCTTTGGAGATGCTCAGAACTCAGAGCCTAAGACACTTCTTTTGGGGCCACTTTAGATGGCTAAAGACAAGGTAGCTGTAATTCTGACTCAGAGGCCTTGGAAATCCAGTGGCCACCCCTGGGTCCCCAGCAGAGCGAGTGGGACCCAGGACAGCTCTGCATATTCTTGGAGATGACCAGGATGCCCTCAGAAGTCCCTCCTGACCTAGCAAGGCTATGACCTTGTCAGGAGCAAACACAATTTCTTCACGCTGGAGTTGCTTGGTTTAAAGCTGATTTCCTCCAAATGCTCTGTAGTCCTAAGAGCATAGTAACCTCAAACAGAGATGAGACAGGAAGGGGCTTCCAGAGACTACAATGCAACATCTGCTCACTACTCAAAACCAAGTTAGTAGAATTGAAGCAAATCTGAACTTTAAGATGAACCTTTTTTTCTGAGGATCGTTCTCTTTTGTGTAGTCATAAACTAAATGGGAGACTGATCACTCACACCCCACATACCCAGCTGAGAAACATTAATGCACACCCAATAAGTGTCTGTCACCTTGGCAGCACTGGGGGCAGAAAGGAATAAGACAGTCCTCACCATGGAAAAAGACACCTATCAACAGACAATGGGACTTACAAGCAAACCATTGTTAATACAATGTTAATTCTACCTAGATGATTTTGACAGAACTGCAAAGAGAAATTAGTCAGGGAAGAAGGGAATAAGGAGCATCCCAGGCAGTCACAGAGGCAAGAAAATTTCAAGGGTGACCTAACAGATGCAAAGTCCGCTTGTTTGACTTGGGTGAGGGAGCTACAGAAATTGAAATTAAAAAAGCAGGCAGAAATAAGTCACGTTTCATCTAAGATGCCACAAATTGTAAAATGAACTATTATTTCATGGTCAACCAAGAAAAAAAAATGCTGCTAATTGAATTATCACACACCATTGATTGCAAAACATCCCAATTTAAAATGGGTTAAAATGTAAGGCAATATGCCTCTCAGAATGGATGAAATATGGTAATTCCTCAAAGAAGAAATGTAGAAGTGAATTAATACTAAAAAAAAACATTTTTAGTAGAAAGATAACTTCAACCCAAATGTAGGTATCATTTTGCTCTTATCAAATTGGTAAAGTATTAAAAATAATGTTTAGCATTAGCAAGGAGATAATGAAATGGACAAACTCATGCTAAAAGCATACATTAATACTATCTTTCCGGAAATCACTTTGGTAATAATGTATCAGGAACCTAAATATGTGCTTATTCTTTGAGCCAGTAATCTCACCTAGAGGAATCTATCCTAAATCCATACTTACAGACTCAAAAGATTTCTGTATAAGAATGTAAGTTCACTTATAAAAATGCAAGTTATATGAATGCTATATTATCAATAAGTATATAAATAAACTGTGGCATAATCAAAAATGTTAGTCAATTACTGAAATAGTTGTTAAAGTATTTAATAACATGGAGAAAATCTCATAATGTAGTGGTAAGTTTTAAAGGGGTGGAAACAAAACTCTACATAAAGTATGAATCCAATTCAAATCTAGGGAAAAGGCATTTAATATAGACTAGAAGGAAAGGTAATCTTGGTTAACTCTGAGTTGTAGCATTATTAGTAACATTATTCCTTCTTATGATTTTTATTATTTTTCAAAATTTCTACAATGATATGATGTTTATCTTTTATAACCTTTCCTTACCCCAAACAGATGTGCTTTTCCAAATTCTGCTTGTTAAAATTAAATAAAAATTAAATTATAGTAAAGAATATAAGCACATGTATGGAGACAGAATGATCAATAGGTGCCCCTTATAGTAAACCATAATTACACTTGATCCTCATTAATACTTATGATTTTCCAGTACATGTTAGATTGGGTCAAGCAGAGGTAATATGTGCGTTCCATATTTCTCAATGGTAGAGATTATAATGAGCACCCACCATTGTCAATACTAGGCTAAATTTACAAGCATTATTTCTAATTCTTACCTTCTCCCAGACAGATGAGAAAACAGAAGTTCCAAGAAGCTGAAGAAGCACGTGTGAGCACACACAGTTTGAACACAGCAAAGTTGGGATTTGAACCTGGGTCTCACTCTCACCATAGACTCACACTCCTTTCCTTGCACTATTTGCCTCTAAAAGGTAGATCCTTCCATAGCATGTCCAGAAGAACATCAAAGAGGGCCAAAATTCTATTCGTTCTATAGGCGAGTGGGGGAGATTGAGAACCAACTACAGAAATATTTATGTCCATTCATTCCTAGAGGGACCTCACAAATGTGGATGACAGAGACAACGCTCTCTGATAACAAGAGAAGACTGGATAACTATGGGGCCACGTTCTCAGTTTACCAACTCAACTCCTGAGAAACTAGTCCTTTCCATTGTCTGTGGCCACTAAGATAATGGTGCAATGCTGTTTACCCACCTGGCAATGTAAGGTGACTTGTGGAGCTGGTGCTTGGGCCTGGTGAGCCATGAGAATGCCACTTTGTGCCTGTGAAGAGAAAAAAGAACATGAGAAAAAATAGAATTGTGGAATGACCTGGTGGACAAGTAAATGTTCATCTGAAATGTTATCAAATTTGGGTCTGAAAACAACCTTTAGAAGCAGATTAGGTGAGGTTGCATGGTGGCACATATTCTGTGGTCCAGAAAGGCTGGGAGTGTCGCCTTTGCCTTTGTGTGTGTGACAATACTCAGCTCCTCTGGCTGGAAAGTTGACATGTTGCGATCCATGTGCCACTGAGCAAGGCTACATTTTAGGATCGCAGGGGAAGCTTTCTAAATCTGCAGTTGCCTGGGTGTCTCTCCCACAGTTCTAAGGTGGAGGCCCAGCATTGATGTTTCTAAAGCCCCTCATTCTAATGTGCTTTCATCCAGGACGGAGGACTGTCTGAAGGAGGTGAAGCTCTAATTTAGAATGAGGGAATCAGGGGGTTTGTCCCTGCTTTGTGCTTATAGGCTTTACTCGTTATTGGAGCTCAAGCAATTAACTGGATCTTTCTGAAGCTCAGGTCTTCATCTAAAAATGAGGAGAATAACAGCAAATTACATCAAAGTGTGCCAGTGAGGATTAAAGGAACCAAGGTGTGTCCAGTGTCCAGGAATGATGGGAAACTCCACAAATGTTAGGTTAGTGGGTTTTCTGAGTTTCCCAGCAACTGGCAACAGAATTCCTATTAGGAAGGGAATTATCTTTGTTCTAATAAAGTATTTAATGGGTCACGAGGCAATGAAAAGGCAAAGCTCAGGAATGGAATCAATAAGAAGAGAGAAGAATAAAGGCACAAAGGGAAGACTGAGTGGTTCTGCCAGAAAAAATTTACGTTTTTTGTATATATGTATGTGTACGTATATACACGTGCATTTATTTACGTATAAATATATACACAGACACATATATGCACACATCTTATACATAAACATAAATATTTATTCATTCATTCATTCATTCATTCATTTTGTCATTCAGAGTGGGAAGAAAGAGGCCTGGAAGACAGATTCTAGCAGCATGGCAGATGCCTGCAGTCTGGGCTGGCAGAAATGCAGAGAGAATTCCTCAGCAGAGGATATCCATGAGTCAGTGTTAGGTTATTTCTGTCAGGAGTCCCCAGAAACTTCCCAAATTTTAGTAAAGTCTACTTTATATGCAAAGGCCTGGTGTAAGTGGAAGCTGTGCTAATTGAGAAGACCCTGTGTGCCAATATAGTCACCAGTAAAGATAATAAGAGAATCCAAAGGCCGGGCAGTGTCTGAGGAAGCAGGCACTTGGGGTTGGAGGTGAGTGGGTGAGTGGTAAGCTTTCCCTATCCCAGAATCCCTGGGAAAGAATGGAGACATGCACTCTGGATGACGTCTGAGATTGTTCCATTTTACTTCATTATTTTTGAGATGGAGTCTCACTCTGCTGCCCAGGGTGGAGTGCATTGGTGTGATCTTGGCTCACTAAAACCTCCGCCTCCTGGGTACAAGTGATTCTCCTGCCTCAGTTTCTGAGTAGATGGGGCTAGAGGTGTGCACCACTATGCCTGGCTAATTTTTGTAATTTTAGTAGAGACAGGGTTTCATCAGGTTGTCCAGGCTGGTCTCAAACTCCTGAACTTGTGATCCACACACCTCTGCCTCTCAAAGTGCTGAGATTACAGGCATGCGCCACCGCGCCTGGCCTCATTTTAATCTTAGTGGACAGAGCACCAATCCTGACATTCTGCAACAAATGCCCTCCAGTCAGTAACAAATATTATTATTAATCATTATTTATTTCTTTTCTTGCAGCAGTAGTAGTGTTAATAGTAGTAAAAGAGAAAACATAAAATTAATTTAAACGGCTCAGACCTACAAAAACTGTTAATTTGCATGAGAAGAAAGGAACTGTATGTAGTGGGATCTTTATTTCTCCATTTTCCAGGTCTCGCAGATGCCTGAAAGGTCAGAGTTGGTGGAGAACATAGAGGGTCCAACCCTGGCTGTAGCTATGCCTCAGTTCTTGAACTTCAGCTGAGGAACTCAGTTACTCCTCAGCTGATTTTTATAAATATGACTTCCAAGGTCCTTGTTTGGATCCTGAAGCAGAATCTCCAGGGAATGGAGCCATGAATTTGCAGTTTAACAATTTCGCCAGGTGAGTTCAATGATGATCTTATAATCTGGTACTTCATTGGTCTAATGAAGTGTCTTGGAGACTCTGAGGTGAAAGATTTACCCAAACTGACACTCTGTGCCAGGGTCAGTCCTGCCACACTGCACAGCCCCAGTGGATGCCGGTCGCACTGTATCCTACACAAAGATTGGTGGACCCTGGGTGTGCAACAAGTGGGCCCTGTTAGGAGGCATTACCAGAGGCACATCTGTACCTTCGACCTTGTGGTCCGCAGCCATTCCTGCTCCATCTGAAATGTCTCTGTGTCCCACTGGATCTGCCTCCACTATGGGGATGCCAATCACTCTGCATTTGACCCTCCACTCACAAGATTTTTTTTGCTTGTCTCATTGAACCTTTGGGATAGGGTTTCTCAACAGTGGCACTGTGACATTTGGGCTGTACAATTCTTTGTGGTGGGGACTGCCCTGTGTACTGAAGAATGTTTGGCAGCATACCTGGCCTCTACCCATGAGATGTCAGCAGCCCCTCCCTAGTCATGACAATCAAAATTGTCCTCCAGATGATGATGACAAATATCCTCTGGAGGCAAAAGTGCCCTCAGTTGAGAAACGCTATTTTAGGATGGAGACAGGGCTTCGAGTTTTATTCAGAGCTGTGGTCCCCAATTTGGCTGCTTGGTCATTGGTAACAGGCAATCCCACATATTAAGCAGTTACTATGGCACTGTTAGGCACCATGAAATATAGATTTGTTGTTGTTTCTAATGTTAACATTCTCACAATAAAATTATTCCCATTTTATAGCATTTTTGAAGACAAAAATGTTTAAATAACTTGCCTAAAGTTACTGAGTGTTGGGGTAAGAGAGAAAAATTTAAGTCAAGATCATTCAAAGTTCAAACTTCAGGAAATTTTTCCCCTGACTCTTGCTGCTTCTTAACCAACCCATTGTCTGGGTTTCCTTCAAGCACAGTCTCTCAAAGTCATCTAAGAGGAAGAAAAACCTGGGACAATTATTTTAACGAAAAGAAAAAGTAAAACCAGATTCCCAGGCCTCACTAAGCACTCGGACCAGCATTACTGGAGGCAGGGCTTAGGGACCTGGATTTTTCACAAGTGGCCCAAGTGATTCCCATCACCAGCGAGGCTTGGAACACCTTGTGTGGTAGAAATTTTTTCTTTTTCTTTTTCCTTCTTCTTCTTCTTTTTTTTTTTTTCGGTCTAACTAATGAAACGTGTGCCATTCTACTTTTTTTTTTTTGGTCAAGTCTCACTCTTGCCAGGCTGGAATGCAGTGGTGCGATCTCAGCTCACTGCGACCTCTGCCTCCCGAGTTCAAGCAATTCTCCTGCCTCAGCCTCCTAAGTAGCTGGGACTACAGGTGTATGCCACCACGCCCAGCTAATTTTTGCATTTTTAGTAGAGATGGGGTGTCACCATGTTGGCCAGGATGGTCTCGATCTCTTGAACTCATGATCCTCCTGCCTCAGCCTCTCAAAGTTCTGAGATTACAGGCATGAGCCACCACGCTCAGCCTGGCATTCTGCTTTTTGTGGATACTCTTGTGAAGCTGAGAGACCAAATTTAATGTTGCCTACATAAGTACCTGAAAAACTGCAAAGTGTTCAATGGCCACAAACTTTTAGCGTTGCTACCTGTAGAAACACCTAATATTGCCAAGTTATTTCATAGAAATGCTTGGTGGAATTTTAAAAAAATAACTTACTATGATTGTCCAGAATTGATAGCTTTCCACAGAGGTAGCTTTGCATCCCCTAGGAATCTTCTCTGCAAACATTAAGTAAGGGAACTTTGGGAACCGTGAGTCAGTGAAAAAGCAGAACTGCAAGCCCTCTAGAAACGCTGTTATTTTCTCTGTTTGCTTGGTGAGATGCCCAATATATCGGGAAAGGGGTGAAGCCATCCCACCTCTCATAATCATGAGTCATAAACAGGTAGCAGGCGGGGATGCATGAAATAAGACTGGTTTTGATTTCACCACAGGCCATTGGGGATGGTTAGGCTCTGAGTCAGCCTCCCACTGGCTTCCAGTTCACTGAGGTTGTGTTCCTGAATCACTTTCCACGCCGAAGCTACCAAATTACCTATCACTTTACTCAAAGTTCCACTCATGGGAGTGATACCCAACTCAGCTAAGTTTCATTTTCTAAAGCCCTTTGCCCTTCACCCTTCCCTTGCTCCCTCCCATGTCTAGGAAGAACATCAGAAACCTGATGGGAATACCCAGTCTAGACCCAGCTTCTAAACTGTAGTGTACGATGAACACAGAAGGCTTCAGACCACCCACCACAAAGAACCGGTTCTTGAATTCATTGTAGAACTCTACTCTGTCAGTGGTTTTCAATCCTGGCTACATATTAGAATCATCTGTGGAGTGTTTAAACAATATGCTGACACCTGGCTCTTCACCCCAAGATGCTGGTTAGTTGGTCTGGATGGGACCTGGGCATGGGGACTTCTTAATGTCCCCAGATGAGCCTGAACTGCAGTCATGAGAAGCACCACCTTCAGTAAAGACCCAGAGAACATGTTTCTTTCACTTGTCAGGATGGAAGACTTCTTTTTTCTGAAACAACTGGTGTGCTCATCCTCACGAATGTGAATCTTGTGAATTGTTTCCTTCCATTTAAAAGTAGGATTCCGGGCTGGGTGCGGTGGCTCAAGCCTGTAATCCCAGCACTTTGGGAGGCCAAGGCGGATGGATCACGAGGTCAAGAGATCGAGACCATCCTGGTCAACAAGGTGAAACCCCGTCTCTACTAAAAATACAAAAAATTAGCTGGGCATGGTGGCGCGTGCCTGTGATCCCAGCTACTCAGGAGGCTGAGGCAGGAGAATTGCTTCAACCCGGGAGGTGGAGGTTGCGGTGAG